GGTTTTAAGAGGGGGATACCTGATGCAAGTTTAGGTAAATATTTCTCCTTCTGCTCAGGGGTTCCAGCAATCAGGATTCCCTGAAATCATTTTATCTAATGAACACAATAACACAATAACACAATAACACAATAACACAATAACAAAACTTCCCATGCTATGGCTTTAATTAAGGGTACAGTGAGAAATTTCCCTTTTCTGTGACATTTTTAAAAGAGGATCGAAAATAATGAGACTGATTTTAAAAACGAGAAAAGTAATACCAACATAGTTTTTGTGAAGTCTGCACCTTCCTTTGCTTATTGTTCATTTCTTGCTAAATTAAATTGACAAAATCGGAAATCAGGCAAAACTAAGCAATGTTGCTAATATCTGTCATAGTTGTCACAATTTCTGCTACTCTACCTTGAATGAGCATATTTATGGCCAGCAAAACTTCCCTTGCTATCGCTTTAATTTTAGGGTACAGTGATAATTCAAAAAAAACTATACTCGTGTAAAAAAAGTTTGAATTTTTTAGACATTCAAGAATTCGATACTGAATAAGACTGTCTGATAAACTCCAATGAAGATTCTACCTTGAATCCAATGGATTGATGAGCTCCAATAAAGATCCCGACGCCGAGATCGTTTCCTCCGACGATCTCTGTGAGCCGAGCATACTGAGTGTTGGTAAGTCCAACACCTCCGAGTTCCTCGGGAACCTGGAGTCCAAAAGCTCCGAGGTCCCTGAAAGACAAAGTTTTTAAAGATGCTTCTTAACAGAAAAATGGTGCACGAAGAAAAAATGGCAGCTTTAAGCGTGATTTCAATTGACCCTCCATGTCAAGTTGGCAAAGCCGATTCTTAAAAGATTTGTCTGATCAAGTATGAATTAGTCTGATCAATATTTATTGTTTATATCTTAGAAAACTGATAATTTTAACTTCTGAGTTCCCTACAAAAGTGACTTGCGCATTTCAACTGCAGGAAAGCATACAGGAATTATTTTCATATCATTCAAATCAGTATTTGTCTATTTGTCTATTTGTCTATTTGTCTATTTGTCTATTTGTCTATTTGTCTATTTATATTAATTTATTTATTTATTCATTTATTTATTCATTCATTCTTCCACCTTATTGATCAGATAAAGGTGTCAAGGGTACCCTTGTGAATCGGGCATTGTCATTTTTTTCATAAAGGATCACTTGAAATAAGCGTACAGTCCCTTTAATTCCTATATTTGACACTAACCTAAGGTTTTGAATAGTATCTTCTGGAACTCTTTCTAGTTCGTCGTTCTTTATCGGATCATTCTGTTCTCCCATAACTCTCTCGGCCAGTGGAACCTGAAGGAAACATTAAATAATTAGAAAACAACTTTATGTTCCTCTAAGAGAAGATGTTCTCCAAGTCTACTTCCTCGCCTGCAAAGAACATCAACAAACTCCAGTAATTTTTAATAACTTTTGTAAAAATAAACACCAGTTAGAGTACCCGGCGTGGGCCGTGGAATTAAAAAAAATAAATTTTTTTTTTTTTAGTCGATTTAAAAAAAAAATTTTGTCTATGTTACCATGGGTTTCCTGAAAAAATTCCAGCCCATTCGGTCCAGCCTTTTGGCCAGCTATAGCTGACATTTTTATCTATATAAAAAAACAAGACATTCATGTATATATATTGCGTATAGCCGGCCAAACGGAAGGACCGATTTTGCTGAAATTTTTTAGAGGACACTCATGGGTTTCCGAGGAGTGTTATAGGCTAAAAAAATAATTATTTTTTTCCCTAAACATTTTTTTAAAAACCTTTTTTACATTTTTTCCCCCTTCAGATAGTATATAATTAAATGTGAAGTTTAAAAAACTGAAACATATAATATATATGAGCAAAGAGCTTTATTAGCTAAATGGTCCTAACTTTGCACCTCTATTTTTTCAACGATAAGGAACTAGAAAAATGCTTAACACTTTTTTTCCTTCATCAATATCATTTTCAAGACTTAAGGTTTGTCAGAATGTTCGGTTGTGACCAAAAAAGCCTAACAAATATAAATTGAAAGAATGTAGGTGTCAAGTTAGCTATATTATTGCAAAAGGTATAACATATTACTGGAGTTTAATGATGTTCTTTCATAAAATCTGCCAATTTAAGCAATAAAAGAACATTCGAAAAAAAAATGAATTTTATTTATGTTTCTCCCAGAAAGTGCAGTTCACTGTTTTTTTACACGAAGATACTGCTAGAGAACCTACCAACATCTGCAGGGTTTCCTTCTGATCTGCATTAAGAACTTCAGGGTAGGGGAAAACCTGTTCAGCTTCAATCATACCCCTGACAATATTATTATTATTATTATTATTATTATCATTCAACCTACAGTCAATGTATCATGTCCTGTAGGCTATGTTAGGTTGAGCTCCAGGGGTTGCACTCCTTGCTACTCCCCCCAAGTCAGCTTGGGTTAGTGAATCTTATCCGACTTTGAATGTTTTTATGATTCAATAAATACGTCAAATATGCTAGGAGACATTAAAATACCGTTGATTGGCAAAATAATTTTAATGGTGCCTACATCCACAAAGTTAAAGTGAAAAAAGTAATTTAAATTTAAAAAAAGAATTTTACCAGGAGGTACAATAATAAATTACTTAGGGCGTGTATTGTTAAGAAGGGGGGGATTTTTGAAAATCTGGGGGAAAAAATAAAAAATTGGACATGACAAAGGCAAGTTTTTTTCACCCTTAGACCCCACGACGATACCCTTTACTTCTATATGAGTACAAATAAGGAGGATATTGATACTATTCTAATGTTGAATTCTCCCAATTTTCTTCATTGGGTCTTCAACATATACCTTCAAGTCATTTATGTAAAACCACAATGAAAAAAATGTTAATCTTAAGAAAGTCGAGGATCAGACAAAGGTTTAAATTGTACCGTTGGGATTTTGAATCGGACATAAGAATCATTTGAACTGCAGTTTCTTTATTTTCAAAAATCTGATTAAAAAGTAATAAATTTGTATTAGCCATGTAAAAATGATTTGGGTAATGTTTAAATTAAAGTTTGTGATAAATAAATATAATTTTCACACCTGGCTCTTTGGAACAACAATGAGCATACGTCCAACCTTCAGCATTTTGTCTGAAATTAAAAAAAAAGATACATATATTTTCTAATTTTGTATCTTTATGCGTGAGAATATAGTAGCTCAAGAGATTTGCTGGCTAGAAAGTACAGCTGACTACTAAGATATGGCACAGTTTAGTTTATACTTAGATAGATAGATAGTTTAAACCTTGATAGATAGATAGCTAATACTGGGATAGATAGATAGATATTTTATAAGATCAGCTGTTTACGCCATTCTAACGTAGAAGCAGGTTATGCAATTTGAATCTTACATATCCCTCGGTCTAGGCAGTAGGCAGTTACATATTAATTCAATTGCACTCCCCCCCCCTCCTTCCCAATATTTAAAAGATGATTTTTGGCTTACACAAAACTACACATCCTAATTATAAGAACAGACATTTTTTACTTCTTAAAATTCTAAAAACATTCTGAAGTGCTATATTTTATCACAATTCACCACCATAATTTAGAGTTTCGGGCACATAAAAAAGTTACAATATTGATGGAACTATTTCTTCATCCTTTCTATGAAGCTATCATATTCATTTTAATTTAATTAGTTGAGAAAAATGTGGTCGAGGTCAAAATAAGAATTGACATCCAGGCTTCCATATCCCTTTAATCATAAATGTCTAAATATTGGAAATGTAGTAGAGGATTGAAGAAGAATGGATATCCTTGCATCTGTATGTAACCACTTTAATCACGAATGTCTAAATAAAGAAAATGTAGTAGAGGATTGAAGAAGAATGGATATCTTTGCATCTGTAGTTGACCACTTTAATCATGAATGTCTAAAATATTGAAAATGTAGTGGAGGATTGAAGAAGAATGGATATCCTTGCATCTGAAATCTGTATATAACCACTTTGTTCATAAATGTCTAAATTATTGAAAATGTCGTAGAGGATTGAAGAAGAATGGATATCCTTGCATCTGAAGATTGGCGAGATGGTGGGCTTCAGGAGAGACACCTTAAAGCATGAATTCTTTTTTTAAATCATTTTATGCCATTTTATAAAATATTTAACATTTTTATTTTTTTTTTTTAAATTATTTACATGTTCTTAGAAAAAGAAGCAGTTTTGGAACTTACCTTACTATGAAAAATAATCATACAAATTTTTAATACCAATTTAAAAAAAACTTGCTAACCTTGCATGTTAGGTACATGCATGCCGTGCATGTTGATAGCTTGAAAACTGGGCAGGATAGGAGTGTGAAATCCAGGCGGCATATGACTGTTGGGAAACTGGAACACTGGTGTGTTAGGAAGTTGATAACGATGAATGATGCCTGGTTGGTTCACTGCAGATGTATCTTGAACCTTAGGGGCATGGGGTATATATTTAAAAAGAATTATTCCCCCGTCCCTGGGAGATAGGGGTGCGGAGGTGATCAATTTTGAAGGCTTTAGAGGGGGATGAATTTTTTATCCCTAAATTCATTCTGTTGAAATTTTTATTTTCCTATATGATTAGCGCTGTAAGAAATAGTTTTCAAAAAAAACATAGAAACCTTCCTTTGACTCTGTCTGGTGTGAAAGTTGACTGGATAAATTAGAGGAAAGTTCTGGAAAGTCATCAACTTCTTCTCTATCAGACTCATACTCTTCAGAATCTTCTACTTCATGATCATCTTCCACTTCATGATCATCTTTCAATTCATCATCTTCATTATAGTCGTCATAATGCCATCTCAGTCTCAGGGGAGATAGCAATGTTCTAAAGCATGTCAAGTTTTCTCAATAATTCCATTCTACCACCTACTAAACAACTCCATTCTTATTCTAAAGTAAGAGTTTGGAATCTTTTCCACGTTGTCTAAATATAAACTTTGCTTGTATGCTTGAAGAACAAAAATTGACAAAAGAGAAACAATTGAGTTAAAATCGAAGATGCGCCCCCGGAAGCCTTGTACATTATAAAAACACATTAAGTAATATTATTCAATTTACTTTTGATGGCAAACTTTTTCAAATACAGCTGGTACTAAAGATCTCATCATGGTTCAATTTTTACACGTTTAAACATTTGAAAAAATGGACGGAATATTTCTGAAGACACCAATTTGAGGTATATGCATTGGGTATGCTCTGTGCAGCTTGCTAAAATTTAGAAAGTTATGACTGTTGTTTGAAAAGTAAATGAAAAATATTTTCTTTAAGTTCATATATTTAAAATGTAACCCTGTAAGTGTCTTATTCAATACACAATTTGACAACATTATTTTATTGCAAAATGTTCTTGATTTTAAATTCAAAATTCAAAATATTAAAGTTCATACCTTTGATCTGCGTTGTAAGTATTGTCCTTTTGTATCTCATCAAATGTGTTTGTAGCAGATATGTCAGCAGCAGATAAGTCGGAAGATATGTCGGCAAATGCAGCAGATGTGTTAACCGAACTGTTAGTAGATGCGTTGGCAGATATGGCAGAAGATACATTAGCAGATATGTTAACCGAACTGTTAGCAGATATATTAGCTGTATTAGGAATGAAGATTGGAGCAGCAACATTCAAAGAGCAGCTCTCACTCAAACTTTTGTTTCTTTTGCTGATATAAACTGAGAAATCCCTGGATTCCTTGGTCTCCTGTTCCACATAACCCTCCTGTTTGCTGGAACCCTCCTGCTGGATGTTCTCGAGTTCCTGTTTCCTAGCATCCTCCTGGGGTACTTCAACCTCCTGCACATAGTACAAAAAATATTGAAATTAAAGGGAATATTATACGTAATTTATTTGTAGATTGGCATTTCCGATTCATAACTGTTCCTTTAACCATATATCTGAGGAGCAATATCGTCGTTGAAAACTTTAGGTTCCAACAATGTCCATAATTCCTTAAGTCCCTTTTTTAAAAAATATCTCATTGATCCATGCATAATAATCAAACAAAGGTATGAAGAGTGTACCGTTGTTATTTGGACCTGCAACTCTGTGCATTGTACAGTACATAAGTTTACTAAAGGTAGAAATAACCACCAGGGATAAAGATTTACATTACAGCTAAACCTATCAAACTGGAATAGGAAGACGACATTTAAAAATCTTGTTAGTATTTGATATTGTAATAATGCAAACAGGTTTACCAGAGGCCGAATTTAAAGAATTTGAGCCACGGCTTAAATTTGAGGCGTGGCTCAAATATTGTTGGGGTTCCACTTAAAATCGTATTTAATGTTTCAAGATTTAAACCGGAGCTCAATTGAAACTGGTTTTTCGCGGATTTGAGATGCGGCTCAAATTCGTTTACTTCGGACTCAGGAATTTTAAAATCAACTTATAAAGTGAAATGGGTCTGAAGACTGCCCAGTTGCAGTGTTTGATGTTTCTTGCAATTTTTAAAACAATAATTGGAGTCAACCTGTCGTCTTCCTATTCCACAGCTTTATGGGTCTCACTGTATGTTTTTCACCTCTCCCTTCCCCTCCCATACCTTTATTTTTGTCTCTGGTACGTGAGTTTGCTGTCTCCAATGGCATGGCATCCAGTAGTTTAAACCAGGATGCTTAATATTTCCAGAGGCCTAAACCAAAAAAAAATAATTATTTTCAAAAATGTATCCACATTTCAATGAAGAATTTTTACAGGTGTCCCTGTCCATATTCTCATGAATTCCCCCCCCCCCACCTCCGCCTCCGGGGAAAAAATTGATTTTTGATCTTCAACTTGGAATTTAACCTGAAATTGACCTGGAATTGACCTGAAATGGACATGAAATTGACCTCAAACTTACATGAAATTGACATGAAATTGAAATGAAATCGACATGAAGTTGACATGAAATTGAAATAAAATTGACTTAAAATTGACCTGAAATTGACAATTATTGACCTCAAACTGACATGAAATGGACATAAAATTAAATCAAACTGACATGAAACTGACAAGAAACTGACAAGAAACTGACAAGAAACTGACAAGAAACTGACAAGAAACTGACATGAAATTGACCTCAAACTGACATGAAATTCACATGAAATTCGCATGAAATTCACATGAAGTTGACATGAAGTTGGCATGAAGTTGACATGAAGTTGACATGAAGTTGACATGAAGTTGACATGAAAATGACATGAAATCGATATGAAATTGACCTTGCAAATTGACCTGAAATTGACCTTGCAAATTGAGCTGAAATTGACCTCAAACTGAAATGAAATTGAATCAGACTGGCATGAAACTGAAATGAATTTAACATGAAATTGACCTCAAAGTGACCTGAAACTGACCTGAGACTGACATGTAATTGACCTGAAATTTACCTGAAATTGATCTAAAACTGACCTAAAACTGACCTAAAACTGACCTGAAATTGACCTGAAACTGACCTGAAATTGACCTGAAACTGACCTGAAATTGACCTGAAACTGACCTGAAATTGACCTAAAACTGACCTGAAATTGACCTAAAACTGACCTGAAATTGACCTAAAACTGACCTGAAATTGACCTAAAACTGACCTAAAACTGACCTAAAACTGACCTGAAATTTACCTAAAACTGACCTGAAATTGACCTGAAACTGACATATATTACCTGAATTGCGGCAGAGTGTGACAAGTTGTTAATAATATTGTGCATTCTACCCAACTCACATCTACCAAAATAGATAACTTCTAGAGTTTTTTACAAGAAAAATATTTAATGTTTTAAAATTCTAAAATATCTTGAATTCTTCAGAACTCGCGCCTTAAACTTGTGGAAGACAATGCCTGGCCGCATTAAACAAATCCCACAAGATTCAACAGAATGAGATAGAAAGGATACGGGGCATTGTACTGAAAAACATCTACACATGTGATATCGATATTGACTCAAGTTCTGAACCCTCTAGTAATAAGTTATAAGAAATATATATACTGGAAGTACTTTATGTGTTTTCACGTCCTCTATAAACTAACCTTTATTTATATGTTTGTCCTATTCACTAAAGTTCCCTTAAAAGCTTTATCTGATAAAGAATAAATGAGATAAAATAACAGAAAATAAACTAATTTAAACACTTGTTCAGGATTAAAAACCATGATATCTTCCATAATAATGATCAGATAAAGGTTTAAAGGGTTCTTTTAACAGTAACAAGCTTTTACAGATAATTTTATAATGTTCTATAACTTTACCTCATATTGAATTCTGATTTTTTAAATTCCTGGTAAAGATCCTGGTTTCTAGACTTAATCCTGGTTTCAAGGAGCTCAACTAAATTCTTGTTAATTTCCTGGATCTTGATCTCCATGAGATGCATCAAACTATCCGTCTTCATCGACATCTCTGTCTTACTCTCCTCCTTGTGGAGCTTCGCAGCAACCTGAGAAAACTATTATTGCCGAGGGTCGTTTATGTTCTGCTAATAAAATTAGTTTTGATCTTAGCTTTAGATTGGTTTAAGAGATAGATTTTTAATTAAGTCCTGCAATTTTGGAGCAAGATACTGCATGTTTACACCTGAATTTTGGAGTTAGTTGTTATGTTCTGACCTGAATTTTGGATTTATAGTTGTTATGCTTTGACCTGAATTTTGGAGTGTAATATTTAAAGTATAGGTGACTCATGCTAAAACCCTACCCCAGCCTCACACCTTTATCTCTTTGTTTCTTTTAATGAATGCGGAGTAGTTAACCTGAACTGATTCATTAAGATTCAACAGTGCACCATAGACCTTTGAACCGAACAGACGTATGAGCTCCGTTTGTTCAACCAAAGGCTATGGGACAGGCACTTCATGGACAGCTCTCAGAAGGCTTACAGCATGTGGACTTACATGATTAAATCTTACATGATCATATCTTCAGGAATACAATAAACCATTGATGAGACAGATATCTCAGGTTACAACAGATCAGAGGAATAAACCATTGATGAGATAGATATCTCAGGTTTACAGTAGAATCAGAGATATATGGTTCCACCTCAACACAGCTAGTTCAACTATCTACACACTCTAATATTCCTGGTGTTTCTATGGTTAAAAACACTGGAGACTCAGAGGATCACTTGAGCTGTAGAACAGACAAGAGAATCAGAGAGATGTGGTTCCACCTCAACACAGCTAGTTCAACTACCTACACACTCTAATATCCCAGGTGTTTATATGGTTAGAAACACTGGAGACTCCGAGGATTGCTGGAACTATAGAATGGATAATAGAATCAGAGCAATGTAGTTCCACCTCTATACAGCTGGTTCAACTCCCTACACCCTCTAATATTCCAGGTGTTTCTATGGTTATAAAGATAAAACAGGCCAATGAATCCTACAGATCAAGGAGATATTAAGTAGATGGAAGATCAACCGAGATGTAAAGCATCCTACAGATCAAGGAGATATCAAGTAGATGGGAGATCAACTGAGATGCAGAGCATCCTACAGATCAAGGAGATATCAAGTAGATGGAAGATCAACCGAGAGGCAGAGCATTCTACAGATCAAAGAGATATCAAGTAGATGGGAGATCAACCGAGATGCAGAGCATCCTACAGATCAAGGAGATATCAAGTAGATGGAAGATCAACCGAGATGCAGAGCATCCTACAGATCAAAGAGATATCAAGTAGATGGGAGATAAACCGAGATGCAGAGCATTCTACAAATCAAGGAGATATCAAGTAGATGGGAGATCAACCAAGATGCAGAGCATCCTACAGATCAAGGAGATATCAAGTAGATGGGAGATCAACAGAGATGCAGAGCATCCTACATATCACGGAGATATAGAGCAGACTGTAGAGATGCAGAGCAGACTACAGATCACGGAGATATAGAGCAGACTGTAGAGATGCAGAGCAGACTACAGGTAATGTGGATACTGCAGATATTGTAGACACTGCAGATATGGAGGATACTGCAGATATGGAGGATACTGCAGATACTGTGGATACTGCAAATATTAGGGATGCTGCAGATACTGTGGATACTGCAGATATTGAGGATACTGCTGATATTGTGGACACTGCAGATATGGAGGATACTGCAGATACTGTGGAAGTTGCAGATACTGTGGAGACTAGAGATCCAGAGTAGATTGATAGAGAGCTAGGATGGATCACAAAGATCACCAGCTATATGAACCACAGGAGAATTGCAAGTATGAAATCATAGATCTACAGCAGATTGACAGAGAACTAGGATGATCATAAGTCACCAGTTACAAGTATCAGAGGAGAAGGTCATAGGTCTATAGCAGATTTATATAGCTAGTATTGATCAGGAGATCACCAGTTATATTATCTAAAGAAGGATTAGCTGAGACCACATCTAGCCCAGCAGGGAACAGAGGCTCAGATGAACTACTGAGGGACTCTTCCTATATAGGAGTTAGTGGAGACTTGCTTTACTGCTGAGAGACTCTTCCTATATAAAAGTTAGTGGAGACTTGCTTTACTGCTGAGAGACTCTTCCTACATAAGAGCTAGTGGAGACTTGCTTTACCGCTGAGGGACTCTTCCTATATAAGAGTTAGTGGAGACTTGCTTTACCGCTGAGAGACTCTTCCTACATAAGAGCTAGTGGAGACTTGCTTTACCGCTGAGGGACTCTTCCTATTTAAGAGCTAGTGGAGACTTGTCTTACTGCTGAGGGACTCTACAGATATATGGAATATGGTTTAATATAAATAGATTTTAAGAGATATATTTTTACCAATAAAATGTAGATTGATAAACCCACTTATTCAAGATCTTTAGAGATAGATATTATACAAAAGATGTGAGGTTTGGGTAAATTATGAATTGGTACTGGGAATGAAAGTGAAGTCTTGTATTAACCCTCAAAGATGAGGCCAAGGATTGATCTTGATTTCCCTAGGATTTATGTCTGGTATTGTAACTATATCAAAGGATTAAATGTTACAGGAGTTAGTTCTCTAGTTTTGACCTGAATTTTAAAGTTAGTTGTCTAGTTTTGACCTGAATTTTAGAGGTAGTTCTCTAGTATTGACCTGAATTTTAGAGTTAGTTGTCTAGTTTTGATCTGAATTTTGGAGTTAGTTGTTTAGTTTTCACCTGAATTTTAGAGGTAGTTCTCTAGTTTTGACCTGAATTTAGAAGTTAGTTGTCTAGTTTTGACCTGAATTTAGAAGTTAGTTGTCTAGTTTTGACCTGAATTTAGAAGTTAGTTGTCTAGTTTTGACCTGAATTTTGAAGTTGGTTCTCTAGTTTTGACCTGAATTTTAAAGTTAGTTGTCTAGTTTAGACCTATTTTAGAGTTAGTTGTCTAACTTTGACCTGAATTTTTTAATGTAGTTGTCTAGTTTTGACCTGATTTTGGAGTTAGTTGTCTAGTTTTGACCTGTATTTTAAAGTTAGTAGTCAAGTTTTGACCTGAATTTTTAAGTTAGTAGTTTAGTTTTGACCTGAATTTTTGAAGTTAGTTGTCTAGTTTAGACCTGACTTTTTAAAGTTAGTTGTCTAGTTTTGACCTGAATTTTATAGTTAGTTGTCTAAATTTGACCTGAGTTTTGGGGTAAGTTGTCAATGTATAGTTTTGACCTAAATTTTAGAGTTAGTTGTCTAGTTTTAACCTGAATTTTGTATTATATTTTTTAGTTGAGAACTGAATTTTTGGAGTTAGTTGTTTAGTTTTGATCTAGATTTTCGGAGTAAATTGTCTAGTTTTGACCTGAATTTTGTCCATGAAGAATGAGGTCAAGTTCTCCCAGTGCTCCAACAAGGTCAAAACACATTCCTTGAAAATGTTCAGTTATAACCAGTAAAGAGCAGGATGAAAATTGTCTTCTTAAGTCTTATTTTAGCTAGAGACAACATATTTAACGCTTTATATCAAGCATAATCATTATAACATCATAACAACGTTAGCTTCATTCATATACTAAAGATAAAACAAAGACGACATTTTATTCCGCCTTATACTAGCTATGACATGCATCCTTTACATAACATAATAAAAGAAAAATACTTTTCACAAGAATCTTTTTACACACAAACAAATTCATTTTAATTTCCCAGATAAAGGAAATATTTTTATACCAACTTATCTATAATTAAGTCGATATATTAGCAACTTATTGTCAATTGAATGTTCTATAACAAAAATTTTTTTGAAGTAACATGAATTTAAAAGTTAAATCCCACTTTTAATGTTTGTATTTTTCAAGCCAATGCACTGCAATGAACCATTCGGGCCCACATTTTTTGTTGTAACTAATGGATTTATGGTTTGTCGAAATTGAAAAATTTAGCAAAGAAAACTTTTTGAAATCTATCAATGTGAGCAGAAAACCCACGAAAATTTTAGTTTTATGAAGTTCGAGGATTTCAAAGCTAAAATTGTTACCAGTGATTGTGATGTCAAAATACCTTTATTTCCTGATAGAGTTCCTCCTTCTGTGTCATCTCCTTTTCCAATTTGAACAGGTTCATCTTGATCTCGTTCATCCTGCTCACCTCCATCCTCAACCCGTCCATCTCCTTCATCATGTTCTCCTGAGTGGTCTTCAACCTAACCATCTCTATACTTAGTGTCTTCAGGTCTACACGTTCTGAATATAGGAATATACACACAATTCGTCAAACTGTAAATCGGGGNGGAGGAGCCAGGGTAGAGATGGAGTTGTGAATATGAGTGTTAGTAACTGACTGCCGGTTGAAGCGGGGATCTAAGGTGAGCGGGGATTTGACACATGTGGTGTGCTTGCTTCCTGTGTACACAAACATTGAGAATCAACGTCGGCATTTGAATCGGAAAAATCGTCTTCCTTATATTTCGAATTTATTTTAACAACTGTATAATATTCCTTGTACTAATTCTTTTGTATACTGTATAATATTCCTTATACTAATTCTTTGTGTATACTGTATAATATTCCTTATACTAATTCTTTGTGTATACTGAATATTCCTTGTACTGAGTAAGCAACGTCTCCCACCTCTAAACTGTCCGATAAGTTTTCCTACAATAAAGTATAATGTTGTTATGTTTTATACATTGTCTGTTTAGACTTATGTATTCCATTGTCCCTCTTTAAATAAAACGTCACTTGAAATTTTAACAGTCCTTTTCAATAAGACTAATTTTGGGGAAAATAAAGCGCTTTGATCAATTATAGTTTTTACAGCTAATAGGACTCAGTCCCACAGGTGGATAGGATCCGCTCGAGCAGTGACTCCTGATCAACACTGCTATGGCAGCAGCTCCTAACTTATCATGGCTCACAACTGGCTCATCAAAATTCAAAATCCGCCACTAAAACTCCTTCCCAGTCTCTTATAAAACTTGACTAAAATGATCATCCAAGGTTTTAACGCGTCTCGTACTTCAATTGGAGTTTTTCAAATAATAAGAATGGAATTAATAAAAATTTATGACCAATTGTTTAAAAATTTCAAGTAACCCAGCCGATTAAAAAGGGCGACATGTCCGATTTAAAACCTTCTGACTTGCAATGAGTCAGATATTTTCGTTTTTCTAGATTAACACGCGCTGATTCTTGCAGCATATAGATGCTATATCGTTTGCACTAGTGTCCGAATGAACTAACGTACTTTTGCACTAAAGTCAGTTGATCAGTAACACTTGTGGCCGCAGGGCCCGACCCTCTAGCCTGTCCTAGCCGCGGCGCTAGGCCCCCTAGCTGCAGCGCTCGGCCCATAAATTGTCTTAACCTAACCTAGCCCTCAAATAAAACGTTAGTCCGACTGAACGTTAGTGCGAATGTACGTTAGTCCGATCAATCATTAGTGCAAACGATACGACACCAGCATATTCACGAGTCACTTGATAGAGAGATGATAAATCATTTCATAGCTGTAAAATTAAGAATACCTCCTTCATCATTAATCACACAAAGGTTTTAAGGATGTCGTTGAGAATGAATCACTAAAGAATTTATCATCATTGAAGTTTTAGCGAAGATCCTGGCCCACAACATGGGAGAAACCAAGCTTTCATTTGGACCCCTGATTTTCACTGCAGAGTCCGAATCGTGCCATCCTTACTTCTTGCAAACATATGGACGTATTTAATTATTCAGTGAAAATTGACCCCTCTCGGCAAAAACAAATAGAAATCATTGTAAAATTAGATTATTTACTTTGGGTGACATCTATAGCGGACAAACACTGTGCGGGGACATACATAGTACGTCTTAAATACGTCCGTTCAGTTGGGAAGATCCAGGCTCAGAAGTGCAAACCCACCCAGCTAACATAAAGACCGACGGCGGTTATACCGCCTCGTTCTACGACAAGCTTCGCTGGAGTTGGGCGGAGCTCCGACCACCTGGTTCGATGTCGGTCTTGGCGGTATAGTAAAAGGATCACACCCAGATCTGTCGTATATACGAAATCGTACATGCGACAGCGCACAAATGAACTCCAAAATCTACACTTCGACATTGGTGCTTTGGAGTATATACTACAGCGATGACTTCTTCACCAAAATCTACATTCGATATCGGAGAGGTATACACCGATATCAATATACTATATCGGAAAAAATGTCACCGAATTCAACATACTACATCTTAGACTTTCTCACCGAATTGTCAGCGTACTACTACCATACTCAGGGGTGACTGTAGGATTTTTTCATGGGGGGTGGGCGAGCCCCTTATTCTAAAAACTATGATGTTAAAGTTAAGTCAAGTTTAAAAATCCTATAATCCCCCCTGAGTATGAAAGAAGTATGCTGTATACGCCCCTGCATACTGCCTAGTGCCTACAAAAATAAAAAATGGTTTAAAAGTAACAAAATGTATTTTTGTGCTTGAAAAATCTGTGATAACAATAATTTTCATAACAAGAAACACAAAATTTCCCTTGTCCTGCCATTTCCAAAATGTGATCTGCCTTTTTTGTGCTTTCAATATTGCCCGAGATATGAAGAATTTCGTTCAGATTTAGACAATTTTGCTTTTTTTCAAGTCGTCTTCCTATTTTCATGTTTCGTGGGACACCCTGTACGTGTAGAATATATGCTGCAATTCTGCAGGTTTACAAGAAAATGAGTATTTTAATTCTATGTGTTCATAAGCATTTTCAAATAGTTGAATTCTTCAGGTTTACAGAAAAAAAAGAATATGTCTTTCCTAGATATGAAATGGAATAAAGTAAAGAAAAACTTAAATTTTTGGTCAGTATTTTTCTGATGAATATTATTTGTATGTTGTGACGAGAATGTATCTTACCATGCCAGAACTAGTATGAACGTGTGAACAAAAATCTACAAAATTTTCTTGTGTTCAAAGAACAGAGAAAAAAATTCAAATCTGAAACAAAAAAATGAACAAAATTACACAAGAAATGTTAACTGATACAGCAGAATTTTCTTGCAACTGAAGAATTATGAACATAACAAATCACATCAGAAATTTCAACAGTTAAATTGACTTTATTGGCCAAAATATATATTTTTGGTGGCATCTAACACTTAAAGAGCAAAAGGAAATCGTGAAAAAAGCAGCAAATGCAAAAAATACTGATTCTGAGATCAATCGACAAAAAACTTTTTGTTGGGTAAATCCGGTTTCCGAAATTACTTCTTGGATTGTAAATGTTCCATGTAGTAAACTTTAAGATTTTAATTACATCGTAGATCTAGAAATAGCGTAAAAATTGCAAATATTACAATTTGTAATATCAATAAAAAAGTAACTAAATACTCGTCTCAAACTTATAATTTTCTAATCCTTATAACTTTGATACAGACAGGTTCCGAAAATACAGGGATTAGAAAATAAACAGTTTAAGGCGAGTTACTTTACTTAAGTGTTGAAATTATCTAGTGTTAACATTATGAATATAGCCATTCTATCTGTTACAGGTATTTAACCCAAGAACTGCTGCGGATATGGATAATATGAATAATAGGGTCCAGGATGACGGATGAACTGCCCAGGTATCCAAGACTGGCCTCGTGGCTGTGACGTGAACCCGGTTTGAGATTTGTTCACGTGACAGTCAGTAACACTGCGTCCGTTTTGAGGTTGAATGGCAGAAAGAACCGGAGAAGAAGGTTGAATGAAGGCGGGGAAAACACTAAAAATATTAACACGATCAGACATCTTCAGTGAAACTGTCGAGTTGACATAATATGAATTGACCCTCCATTTAAAGATTTCCTTGCCCGATTGAAAACGGCACTCTTTAAAAAGCTTTTAATCTGAGATATCACGATCTAGTTTTTCTATCTATAAAAAACATATATTTTGTCAAACTTTTTACTGTTGTTATGTTAAAAGGAATACTTTATGTTCCCAGCAAGAAACCGCAGGTCAATCATACAGAGAACACGCAATTAAAAATAAGTCAGTTTTCAGATAGAGAAACAATGATATCTTCATCATGTTTGCACAGCTACAGGTTTACAAACTGCCAGAGTAAATCAGGAGGGTCACCGCAATAACTTAGACAAGACTGTCTGTTAAATAAAAATAAAACCAAAAATAATGTTTAACCACACCTAGTAGAGTTTAAAGGGTAGTTCATTCTTCTATCTTCACTTTCCACCACTTCCTAAGTACATAGAGTCTTTAAAAAATAATACAATTACAGACTAACCAAAAAAGGCCAAGCCCACCTTTAAGTGTTGTAAGTAAGTTTTCAGACGCCAACCCTGTTCCTTAGCGATAACATAGATTTCTTTTAAACTTTTCTCTATTAGGAAATTAACTTTGTCGTCTATTTTTCAACATAAATAATTCAAATATGATACCAAGGTTGTTTGTAAGGTTGCTTATTCTCGATGCGCTCCAATTTACAGAAAATGTCGACTCCTATGCAATAGACAATGAAATTCGTAAATAAAGTCACTGATTATAGAGTCAAGATTAAAGATCAGAGACGTCGTTTACGCCTATCCCTGTCCATTGCTTAGATGCCATATTCCGTACATTGGAGTGCATGAGGGAGTAAGCAACTTTACTAAACAACCTTCTATGATTCTGAAGAGGGCATGATGTAGAATCCTTACTGACATATATGAAAATTTAGACTTCATACAGCCTTGCGATCAAATCTTGGTAAAACCTCAACACCTGGATAGGAGGACTAGAGAATCCAGTATCTACATCTTGATGAGGACTAGAAAATCCAGTATCTACATCTGGATTATCCTTCAGTTCTTCATCTTTATCACTCATATCTGAGGCGATACCGCTGGAATATCAAATAAATGTTAGAAGGTATAGTTAAGGTTTTGGAGTAAATGATCTGCAATTTGGGATTAATTATTACTTTTTAAATGAAAAATTAAATTGCGGTAATATAATCAATAAAATGAAGAAGGAAAAATAACCACATTATATTTATAAAAGCCGAATTACTTTGCAATTTACAAAAATAGCGATTTCAACAACAACAACAAGTAAAATAATTGAAAGAAAGAGATGTTCTTTACCTGAAAGACCCAAAAGTCTCCTTAATCTGATCAATTTCTGTGCTGATCTTCTTCAGTACAGCATAGTTGGCCGTCTTACAGGAGGCAAACTGATGAGAGAATTCCGTCTGAGAAAACAGTTTCAAATGTTCTGCCACATTTTCCAGGTTCCTGATAGTATCAACCTTGTCCTCCCTCATCTTCTCCTTCAACTCGCTCTTTATCTCCTTCATCTCATGTTTGAGGTCTTTGATTCTCTCCTTCATATCAACCCGGTCCTCCATCAAGATGTTGTTCAACTCAAGCTTGTTCTGCGTCATTTGGTTCTTCATGTCATCAGTGATTTTCTTCACATCCAGCATATCTTCCGTCCTTCTCAGTTTCAGGTCGTCAATCTTCTCCAGGATAAATCTCTGACTGACTTCAGTCTCTATCTTCTGTTTTAAACATTGCTCATTAGACTGTAAAGTTTTTCCATTCATTACTGCCACATTCAGTACTTCATCAATTCTGTTTTCCAAGTGTTCAATCTTGGTGTTTAACTCTTCTTCCAATTTGTGTACTTTGCTATCATTCTGTTTGATGCCCTTATCTGATTCCTGATTCTGTATCTCTTTCTCCTCTTCCTCCATTCTATTATATTTTTCTTTCCTTCCTGTAACTTCCTCAATCAATTTGACCATTTCCTGCTTTTCCTCATCTCTCTGTTTGATCAATTCCTTTCTGAAGATCTTCATTTCCTCATGCTCCTCATTTCTCTGTCTTATCAAGTTCTCTTTGAAATTCTTCATTAACTCAGTCTCTTCATTTCTGTTTCTGATCAATTCTTTGGTCAATTTCTCCATTTCCATCTTCTCCTCATTTCTCTTTCTGATCATATCCTCTCTGAAGCGTCTCATTTCATCCTTCTCCTCAATTCTGTTTCTGAGAATATCTTCTTTTAGCTTCTTTGTCTCTTCTATTTCATTATCTCTCATTTTTAACATTTCCTCTAGAGTTTTCTCCATTTGACTTTTACAATTCTCTATATCCTTTATCTCCTTATTCCTCAATCTTGTAACATCCTTCATGAAGTTCTCCATTTCTAATCTTCTCTCAACAGAATCCACTTCATCTCTCACTTTGTCTGTTCCTATTATATCTTTCAACATTATTGGTATCGATGTTTCAAGTTTGGTGCTTATTTTCTCAACTATTATGTGTTCTAAAGCTGATATTTCAGTCTTAACAACATTTTTATTTTCAGAAACTTTCTCTTCCATGTTGTCAAATTTCACCTTTGACCAATTGCCTAATTTAATGAGCATATTGACAGTATTATCACCCTTACAGTCAACTACATCCATGATGTCCTCCTCAAACTCCTGTAATCTTATTTCAAAGTCACGTTTTGATAATTTGGTATTCTTTGTGTTGACATCGATTATATCCTTCTTACATACTGATTTAAAGTCCCAAGCAGAGATGTGCTTTGATTTAAAGGTTTCAAAGTCTTCTTTAAATGTCTTGAGGCAGTCATCACAAGCAACACATCCAAGACCTTTAGATGTGGTCTTTTTAGTCATGTCTTCATCATCTTTATCTTTGAGACTGGGCACTTCAGCCTTGTTCTTAACATTAACCTTCTGACATTTAAGTAAATCTATTTCTTTTTTGTTTTCCTGACAACGTGTGAGAAGCATGCTGTTCAATTCTTTAGAGGTTTTCAGTTGGTTCTTTAGTTTGTCAACATCTGATTTCCCTGAACTATTTTCATCAAAAGTTTTCTCTTTCTTGGAAGATTCAATTTTGCTAACCTCCACCTTAGATGTACAGGCAGATTTTTCTTGGATAGAACAAGGAACAGAGGTTATTACATCGTGGCCAGGGATGATATTGGATTTCTTTTCAACAGTAGTGCTTGTATTTGTTTTGGGGAGAGAGGGTGCGTCAGCCTTTGTTTCCAAATTCTCACTCACTTGAGTTATCTTGTTCTCTGTGACACTGATATCACATTCACAGTTCACTTCATTCTCAAGATATTCACAAGCAACACATCCAGGACCTTTAGACGTGGTCTTTTTAGTCATGTCTTCATCATCTTTATCTTTGGGACTGGGCACTTCAGCCTTCTTCTTAGCATAAACCTTCTGACATTTAAGTAAATCTATTTCTTTATTATTTTCCTGACAATGTGGGAGAAGCACTTTCTTGGAAGATTCAATTTTGCTAACCTGCGTCTTAGATGTACAGGCAGATTTTTCTTGGATAGAACAAGGAACAGAGGTTATTACATCGTGGCCAGGGGTGATATTGGATTTGTTCTCAACTATATTGCCTATATTTGTTTTGGGGAGAGAGGGTGCGTCAGCCTTTGATTCCAAATTCTCACTCACTTGAGTTATCTTGTTCTCTGTGACACTGATATCACAGTTCACCTCTTTCTCAAGATTTTCCTTATTCTTATCATTTGCAATTTTCTCTAAGCTCTCTTTAAATTGATGAGCTGCTTCTTGAATTTTAGTTTTAAGCATTTTTTCAGATATCTCAGTTTCTTCTGGTAATTCAGTAGATCTTTTTTCTAGTAACTGCATTTTTCTATTCTCCTGTTCCTCCAAGTGCATGGTGTTTTGTTTCCACATTTCCACATTACTTTGTTCAACATCATTATCCTTGTTTTCTTTTTCATTATTCAGTAAAAGCTCTTGGCCCTTATCCTTAGAGATGTTTTGGCTTTCATCCTTGGAGAGCTCTTGGTACTGATTCATAGCGAGTTCTATGCTATTATCTTTAGGGAGTTCATGGCATTTAACCTGCAACATATCTTGGCTCTGATCATTTCGGCTATTTCTTTTAAATGCATCTGGGCTCTGATCCTGCACAACTACTTGACTTTGATCCTTCAAAGATTCTTGGCTTTCATACTTGGGGAGCTTTTGGCTTTCCTCCTTAGGGAGCTCTAGGCTATTATCTGTTGAGAGTTTTTGGCTTTCAACTTGTAAACCTTCTTTAATTTGATCTTTTGAAAGCTCTGGACTAAGCTCCTTAGTGACATCTTGGCTCTGGTCTTGTTTAAGTTCTTGGCTTTCATCCTTCCTTATCTCTTCTTGCTTTTGATCTTTAGCTATTCCTTGGCTTTGATTGTTTGTATGCTTGTGGCTTTTAAACTCCAAAAGCCCTTCCTTTTTATCATTACTGATTTTTTGGCTCTTATCCTGTACTACCTTTAGACTTTGATCTTCTTGATTTACCTGAACGCACTCTTGATTATCATACTTCATAAGCTCTTGAATCTCATTTTTCATAAGCTCTTCTTTCTTTTGATCTTTAATTAACTCTTCAGCATATGATATATCTTGAAACATATTCTGTTCAAGTTCTAGGCCCTTCTTTTCCTCTTGCATCTTGCTTGCCTGCTTGGCAAGAAACTGCTCAATATGATCCTGGGAGGCGCAGTGTTTAGAGAATGATACAGTAGACCTAAACACAAAAATAATTATTTAAAGGACTTTCAATCTTCAATTTAACCAGGATATATATCCGAAAATAATACACCCCTGTCTAAACATACACCCCAAATCATTAATGATATAGTGGCTTTATCGTTTATTCTTTTTATGTGTATTTAGATTGTAAGCTGCTGAAAAAAAACATTAAAAAAAAAAAAAATTTTTTTACTAGATTAATTTGAATTGAAACAAACAAAACAATTACCAATATATATTTATTGAAAAGATTTTTCAAATCAAATTAGACTTTGATGGACTCCCTAAAGCTCAAACTTGAAGTGAATATACTGACTCGGGAATGATGTGAAGACTTATACAAGCAAATGTACTTTATTATTTTAAAGGCTTTTAATTTGATAAAATTTAAATGTAAAAATGTATATATTTTTGCACAATTTCATCATAAAAAATTTATTCTATTGTGAGCTTAAATTTGTTGACCAGAAATAAAATAAATGTGACAGGCATCAACATTATTGATAACATTTACCCGAAAATGAGGTTACAGTAGATGCATGTGATAGATCCATTTTTATTTCTCCGTCCTTGTTTTTCATTGGCTAAAGTCGCAGCAACATCGGCAGGTAACTTATCCATGGCACTTTTAGAACGCAGTTTATCTCCTGTTATACAATGCAGTTGTGGAGTTACTGAAGGATTAAAGGACTCTGAGAGATTTGGATTTTTCATTGATTTTGATTTAATCTTTGCCTTTGCGTTGAGTTCGCCTTGAAACAGTTTGGAAAACGCATTTGTGTCCTCACTTAGTTGATTAAACTCATCCTCTTTACAATCATTCTTCTTGGTCACATTCTCAACCTTGAACAACAGAAGTTTAAATACGAGGCCTCAACTTAAAATTAAATGCTTCATTCAGTTCTAATCATTCCTAATGATCCACTTTTGAATTGGCGAAAATGAACTGTTAATAAAAAGTAAATGATTTTTCAGCGAAAAGAATTTTTTTTTTTTTATTAAAGGAAAACAAATATTTGTTTTTGGGACAAGTATCAAAGTATGAAAAAAAGCTTTCAAGGATCTTAACTATCATTTTTCCAGCAGAGCTTCCACCAGTTTACCCATTTTCCTATTGTTATACAGAGATCAGTATCCAATATGCTTCCTAGTTCCAGATCTGTCTTTCATTAAATAGTAACTTGGTTGGTCCAAATCATTCCATCCCGCCAAAAATCTACATTGTCTTCCATTGGCCAAATTTTTGTCTATTTGTTAATACCAAGGAGTATAACAGAGATCGAAACGACGCGGCCCACCCTACCTTATGATTATATGATTATATATGCAGGGTGGTCAAAACTTTTTTGAAAAAAAATCCGTACATAATCCGTACATTTTCAGAAGAAATCCGTACAATCCGTACAATTTTCGAAAAAAATCCAAAAAATCCGTACGATCCGTACAGTTTGAGAAAAAAAAATCTGTACAATGCATACATTTTTTTGAAAAAATCCCTACATTTTTTTAAAATCCATACAATCAGTACAATTTTCGAAAAAAATCCCTGCAGTCCGTACATTTAAGATAAATAAAACCATTTTTGAAAATATTATATATAAAAATATTCTCAAATGAACACTTCTGGAACATATTCTCAAATGAACACTTCTGGGATCTCGATTATTATGAATTTTGATGTCAATTGAAACATTAATCAATCTAATATTATTTAGAATGCAGAAAATAAGTTAAATTAACTTCATTTTGACGAGAATTTTTTTTTGAAATTTATATGAAAAAATTTGCTGAAATGAGTGAAAATAGAAAAAAAAATCCGTACAATCCGTACAATTTGAAAAAAAAAATCCGTACAATCCGTACATTCCGTACAATTTTAGGGTTACAAAAAATCTGTACAATTCGTACATTTTGGCCACCCTGTATATGCTTTGCAGGCGGTACTTCATTTGAATAAGAAATATTTGGCTGATAGGTTATTGTATATATTAAGCAGGGAAAAATTAAGACTAAATTTTTGAATAACAACAAATAAATTTCTTTCAGATGCAAAAATTTTAGCAATACAAGCGTATTTTTTATAATATAAAAAAATTTGCTTTATTTGATATGTTATAGTAAAGAAACATTTTAAAAATTAAAAGACGACCTTTTAACTCATTTTCAAACAGAGTACCGTCTGCAAAGCATGTATAAATCTTATGGTAGGGAGGGCCACGTTGTTTCCATCTGCATTATTTTCATACTCCTTGGTTAATACACTGGTAATCAGAATCAATGAATCAGTTAAAGAGGTAACCACAAACTCGACAAAGACGACAAACCCCAATTATTATTTAATTAGCTAACAATATCCCTAAATTTGAACCAACCAAAAATCTAACCAATTGGCGGAGCTTGAGGAAGTCTATGTACTTTAATGATAAATATATATCTATTCATCTTTATCTAATTTAATCTATGTATTATATGATACTAGTCACTGTCAGTGTTTTTTTTTAAAGTTTGCTAATATTAAAACACACCTTCGTTTTAGGACGAGCTCCGTAGTGTAAGAAATAAGAATCATCCAGCAAAGAAGGAATTCTATCTCTTGATTGTTGTTGAACAGCTTCTTTCCTGTATCTATTGGGTGAAGGCAGTGGGTTAGGTTTTACCGACTCATCGTGGAAGGGAATTTTGCAAACTTTGCTGAAAGAAGTAGAGGGATTGGAGATTGGAGCTGTGCCAACAGAGGTTAACAAACTGGAGATTGGAGCATTGCTGACTAAAGTTACCAAACTTGAGTTTGAAGTTTCGATAACGGAAGTAGAAAGACCAGAGACGGGATGATAATGAACCCTGTCTGATTCAGCAGCTCCACTGCTAGAAAGTGGAGGACTTGAAAGAGCCGAGAAATACTCTGATTCTGAACTATTTGCAGTAGAAAAGTACAGAAACTCAGTACTTGAAAATGTAGTTGAACTATTAATATGGAGCTGGTTTCCAGAAAGCGAGGGCCCCAAAAAAGATAAATTACTTGGTGCTGTGTTTACTTCACTGAGTCCATTGGATTGTATAGGTGCAAGGCCCAAATAAGAATATTCGGTTCTCATCTTCAGTGGCGTTACAGGTAACATGGAATATTCTTCATCTAAAAAAACGCAAACTATGATGTTCATTGTTTAATAATGTCAAATTAAACAACACAAACTTCAATATCATGATTGCCCTGCCCCTAGTGAAGGATGGCAAATCCAAAACTTGTATAACGAATAAATATATAGGACTAAAACCTGATTGAACAAAATTAATCTTTAAATCGGCAAAATATTTATAAAGTTTATTGAATAATATGAGTAGGTCTTTAAGCCTTCGTCAAGTCATTTTAATAAGTACATGCAGAGTTCTTGTCAAGCTGGATGAGCAGGATGAACTTTATTGGAGATAAATTTTGTAATCTTACACAATATATGGATTTGATGGCAGCTGGGATATTAGAAAAATATAGCTTTGACAGGCTCAAGAATGCATACTTTTTATCAGAAGTATCAGAGTGTTTAATTTTTTTCCTTTATCTAGATATAGTACTAATTATTTAAACAATTTTTAACAGATTGTGAAGTAGACTCGAAAACTGAAAGGTTTTCAGTCAGACCCCATTGACAACAGGAGAAAAAGAAAATTCTACAGGGAATGCCGACCAAAAGTTTAAATGAATGTCCCTTTGTTCACAGTTACATTCGCGATTCCTAACGGTGTGATTGCAATCGTTATTAGATTTACAATTAGTTAAATAGCTTAAAATCATCATTTTTTAGATAGAGAATAATATCTTCCTCCATTGTTATTCACTGTTGTAAATTGGGTCTATTAAAATCTAAATGGAGGGGCACTTGAAATTACTTCAACAAATAAACTACCCCAGAAGAGGCTTTTAAACTTTTCTGGGGGAGGAGGAGTCGCCCAAATATTTGATTGCCTTAATTAAAATCAGGAAATCTTCAGCCGTTTATCCCCAAGATTTAAAAAAATGAACTGTGCGTTCATTTTAGCCATAATAATCCCCCTCAATACAACTTTTTTTCTTTTGTCCCTTATTCGGTTATACTATATAAAAAAAGACAAAAAAAATATTCTTAAAAATATTTTTACCGGAGTCATCTGATAAGAATATATCTTCGTCAGAATTGATCTGATCTGATGTACTGGTCTGCGTACTGTAGTCTGATATACCAGGCATTAAATCTGATGTTCTTGGAGTCAGACATGATTGTTTGGAGATCATAAATCTGGTGTCTTGTTTTCTGGTCGGAGATGTTAAATCTGATATTCTCACTGAATGCTCAGAGGTCTTAATACCAGATTCGGAACTAACCATGTTCTCAGGTACCTAGGGAATAAGGAGTACTTGTTTTTATGATTTCCGTTTTTTTCAAATTATTCAAATTGTTAACGAACTATTATAATCTCTGTCAATCTCTAGGGGCATTGAATAGTTTAAGGCAAGAGTAAAACTGAATTGACTTACAATACTATCTGCGGCAATAGGTTTGTTTCTATATGTTGTCAAATGGCACTTTTTTGGTGTAATGGATGTAAAATGTTCAAATTAATCAAATATCCTAACCTTTATTCTTTTAGGACTCCTGGACGATAGATCAGCAGAATGTGAGGGTTCAGTGTTTTTCCTAAATACAAAAATCGTTTAAGACTTCTCTTCATTCATCAAACCTTTTGTATTTTTAATCTGTACAGAATGTGCTCAGACGGTTCTTTTTCCAATGCAGATTGCAGGGGTGAATATATTTTTAGACGCCTTCCCCGGCGCCAGGGGGGGGCAAAAATACTAATATTTATAAAGGGACTGTGAAAAAAAAGGAAAAGGGAAGGGGGAAGGGGAAAAGAGAAGGGGACAAGGGAAGGTGAAAAGGGAAGGGGAAAAGGGAAAGGAAAATGGAAGGGGAAAAGGGAAGGGGAAGAGGAAAAGTGAAGGGGAAGAGGAAAAGTGAAGGGGAAAAGAAAAGGAGAAAAGGGAAGGAGAAAAGGGAAGGAGAAAAGGGAAGGAGAAAAGGGAAGGAGAAAAGGGAAGGAGAAAAGGGAAGGTGAAAAGTGAAGGGGAAAAGGGAAGGGGAAAATGGAAGGGGGAAGGGAAAGATGGAGGGGGAGGGGGAAAAGAAAAGGGGAAGGGGAAAAGGGAATGGGAAAATGGAAGGGGGAAGGGGAAAAGGAAAGAGGGAAGGGGAAAAGGAAAGAGGGAAGGGGAAAAGGAAAGGGGGAAGGGGAAAAGGGAAGGGGGAAAAGGAAGGGGAAAAGGGAAGCGGAAATGGAAAGGGGAAAAGGGAAGGGGAAAATTGTTTAGGGGGGATGAGGGAAGGAAAAAAGAAAGGAAAAAAGAAAGGAAAAGGAAATAGGGAAAATTTCTTTTCTTATCTGATAGTTTTAGTTAACACGAAACTGTAAAACCTATGAGGAAAAAATATGAAAAAATATACATAAAGAAGGTATAGACTATAAATTAAACATTCCGAAAAATGCAAAGGCCCAGAACTAAAAATTAGAAGATTGATTATGGAAATTTAGTTTAAAATGACTGACTTGCTTTGTTTACGTCAGCAATTATGAATTTAAAAATATTGTCAATAATTTAGACATATCCTAGTGATTAAATCTCAGCCGGGTTTGGGTATAAGAACTCCATGGTTCCGGAATTTTTATCCGCAACCATACCCAAGTTTACAAAATTACCCCTGACCCTGGAGTGTGTGAGGGGATCAAGTAACAAGATGTTTTACCTAGATCTTTTATTCTCTACAACATCCCAACCTTCCCCGTTATCCTCATCTTCCTCTTCATTCATAAACTTGTTGTAGAGATCCTCATTGATAGGTTCATGATTCACCCTGTTCACCTTCCTCTTATTCTTTACTGCAGAAGGATCGTTCTTACTAAAGAAAGTTATCATATCAAATGGGGTTTCAACCAAGTGTTAGTTTTACGTTAAATTTGACAATTTGATAATTTGAGCTTTTATAAAATAAAGAATCGAGCACTAGCATGCAACACACTTTTCTAATCCGTGTATCTCTGCTAGTTGATATATACTTGAAGTATATTCTGTAATGATGTGCAATTCTATCTTTGTTATTCATGCTAGTAATATCGTTATCTTAATTATTTGTATATTGACCCAGCCGGGCTAGCCCGGTCAGTTTCATTTTTACCTGTTTATAAATAAAGTAGTTCAATAGAATTCTTTGATTAATACGGACGTATACCGAGCCTTGAGTATTGGCTGAGAGTAGAGAGCCTTGCGTTTTGGCAAGAGATAGAGTTAGATATGTTCTCATTAGACTTTGAGTAGAGTTATCATTGAAGTTATAGCATCTAGATTTACTACATACTGAATACATAAATAATGGTGTAAACCTTAATTTTTCAAACTTTGGACTGTATGATAAATATGATCTAGCAGAATTTTGAGTCAGAACCATCAGAGATCTACAAGATCAGAGATCTACAAGATCAGTGATCTACAAGATCAGAGATCTACAAGATCAGAGATCTACAAGATCAGAGATCTACAAGATCAGAGATCTACAAGATCAGTGATCTACAAAGATCAGAGATCTACAAGATCAGTGATCTACAAGATCAGAGATCTACAAGAACAGATCGCAGAAATATAAGAGATAGAAAATTACAGTATGAGCGAAGTAATCAATTCTTTTAGAGAAGTAAAATTTTCAAAATTTGAGTGTAATTGGGTAAATTTGGTAATTCTTTTAAAGTGTGTCAAATAGTTATACCTTTTTTGCTTTGTCTTTGTGTTACTGGTACATTCGTTGAATACCAACCCTGAATAAAACATTTATTTACATATCACCAAATTGCATATATTCCATTAGCAAAATATTTAACATTGCCAGGACAAATGTGGCAGGACATGAAATAGGCATGAAACAGAGTCAGAACATGAAATAGGCAGGAAACAGAGGCAGGACATGAAATAGGCAGGAAATAGAGTCAGGACATGAAATAGGCAGGAAGCAGTCAGAACATGAAATAGGCAAGAAACATAGTCAGGACATGAAATAGGCAGGAAACAGAGTCAGAACATGAAATAAGCAGGAAATAGAGTCAGAACATGAAATAGGCAGGAAACAGAGTCAGGACATGAAATCGGCAGGAAGCAGAGTCAGGACATGAAATAGGCAGGAAACAGAGTCAGAACATGAAATAGGATGGAAACAGAGTCAGAACATGAAATTGGCATGCAGAGTCAGAACATGAAATAGGCAGGAAACAGAGTCAGAACATGAAATAGGCAGGAAACAGAGGCAGGACATGAAATAGGCAGGAAACAGAGTCAGGACATGAAATAGGCAGGAAGCAGAGTCAGGACATGAAATAGGCAGGAAACAGAGTCAGGACATGAAATAGGCAGGAAACAGAGTCAGGACATGAAATAGGCAGGAAACAGAGGCAGGACATGAAATAGGCAGGCAACAGAGTCAGGACATGAAATAGGCACGAAACAGAGTCAAGACATGAAATAGGCAGGAAACAGAGTCAGGACACGAAATAGGCAGGAAACAGAGTCGGAACATGAAATAGGCAGGAAACAGAGTCAGGACATGAAATAGGCAGGAAACAGAGTCAGAACCTGAAATAGGCAGGAAACAGAGTCAGAACATGAAATAGGCAGGAAACAGAGTCAGGACATGAAATAGGCAGGAAACAGAGTCAGAACATGAAATAAGCAGGAAATCAGAGTCAGAACATGAAATAGGCAGGAAACAGAGTCAGGACATGAAATAGGCAGGAAACAGAGTCAGAACATGAAATAGGCAGGAAACAGAGTCATGAAAAGTTCTTTTTGATACTATTTACCCAAAAATATTTATTTCCAACTAAAAATCATTTGTTTACAGCAATTCAACGAAAAAAAAATGTTGAATAACTTTTAGCGAAAAACATGATTTAATTAAAAATGAGGGAGGGAATGATTTTTAGGAAAATATACACCCTGTTCTTTTTTAAGAAGAATAAGTTTTATACCTGGAATAGAAGGTTGTTCAATGGGTTTGGAACGCGAAAGCGAATTTAAGGAACTTGCTTGTCTTATGCCGAGCAGAGAACTTCGATTAGAAGAAGTTGAAGAGCCAGGCATTGCTAAAAAACAGGTTCTTAGATATTTCACAACATATGGGGCACAATAAACATTTTCTATAAACAAGTTTCCAAAATAAACAAATTACACTTAGCAGGTTAATAAAATTCATTTCTTTTTCTACTCATTATTACAGGTAAGGTTAAGAAAAAAATTTAGAAGAAGTTTGCCATTTACTCAATTAACTATTTTCAAGATATCTAAAAAAGGCATTTTTTTCATGTTTATTTTCATTTTTATCTGTATTAATGCGTCTTATTGAGAGCCATAAATATTAATATGTTGTATGCGACTTATTAGTTTTTACCTGGAACACGCTTTACTGGCTTTAGTATTGGTTGGATCTTCTGGTTCAAGTTATCCCTTGTGCTTGGTAATCTAAATTCAAAATAAAACATATAAGAGACTGTAAACATGATTCTAAGTGACCCTGACCTCTATTAAATAATGCTATCCTATAAACCTAAGTATCTGCTGAGTAATGTGGAAGAAATTGACGTATTTCCAATTTGAAAATTCTCCAATGTTTCTGGAGCAAGAAATCCAAATTATCAGTTTTCAGGGTACCATTGTGAATCGGACATGCCCCTCTAAAATTACACCTTCAGTCTCTTTTATTGATAATATAGGTTTTCAGAACATATTCACTTTACAGTACACAATGCAGAGAATGTACACTTTTCTTTTAACTCAACTTAATCCAAAACTTTTGCCTATTAACTTATTTGGGCCCTGTCCGATCATAGTTTATCTGGACCACCTCCGTCCTCATATTTTTTCAACCTTAGGTGATTACACGTTTCCAGGACAGGTTAGGTTAAGGTATATAGTCACGCGAGGTTGCTAAAAAGGAAGGAGCGGGGAACTATTGCCCCTTTATCAGATTGTACCCCTATTTAAGTCAATGGTTCACCCCTTACATTTATAGGCAGCAAATAATTCTACAAGAGAAGCCCTAAAATCTTAAAGCTCTGAAAGAACTTCTATTATATGTAATACCTTGATTCAGTGTTGATCTTCACAGTTTCAGGTTTGAAGTTTAGTGTCGGCAATTTCTTCTTTTCTACTACTCCTCCGACAGCTCCTCCTACTGCTACTCTAGCAGCTCCTCTCTCTCTATTTCTAGCATCAGCAGCAGCTCCTGCTGCACCAGCCCTGACTGTTTCACCTCCCTGTTTTAATAATCATTAAAATTACAACCGTAGTGTCGGTCTCTGCTGGTCTCTGTTGGTCTCTGTTGATCTCTATTGGTCTCTGTTGGTCTCTGTTGATCTTTGTTGATCTCTGTTGGCCTCTGTTGGTCTCTATTAGTCTCTATTGGTCTCTATTGGTTTATTTTGGTCTCTTTTGGTCTCTTTTGGTCTCTTTTGGTCTCTTTCGGTCTCTTTCGGTCTCTTTTGGTATCTTTTCCTCTATTTCGTTCTCTTGCTTTCTTTTTGTCGAATTCTGTCTATCCTGTCTTTGTCTCTTTCTGAAGCATTCTGTCTTTCTATATTGTAAAATCTAAAATATCATTTTAGGATAAAATATAGCCTGAAAGAATGAGACTGAGCTGGTGTGATCCACTCAATAACTTTGTATGCAGAATGATTAAATAATAATCAAGAACATTCCCTTTAATTCTGTCAATCTTCAAGTTAAAAGAATATCAATGTAATTTTTTTCTGTATTTTGTAACTAGGATCAAATGTAAACAAGACTTTGTAATATTTAATCCCAAGCTATCATGATAAATAATGATCGTCATGTTGCAGATGATCATGAGAGATCATGATCAATAAAGACTTACATCCTAATCCTGTCTTAAGTGATCCGTTAATTCACTTGACATTCAAGGTAAAAAATTGTTATCAAAACTTTGTTCAGAGATCATATAAAGCATTAGATACATTAGTTGTATTGCAGCTGTTTGATCCAGTTGATCATCAGAATAACCCGGAGTTCTAAAGGCTCCAAAAAAGGCTTGGGTTGTCTCACAAGCACAATCAGGTCAATAAACATAACTTATTGAAATGTATTCAATTGAAGAAGATAATTGATGTTGAAACTTGATTTAAACTGATTGATCTTTGTATGCGAAACAGGACTTATACGAGACATCTTTACCAGAGCTTCCTTTCTACGTTTTTATCCGACTTCTAATATTCAGTATTTACCCATATACACTCCCAGCTTTATAACAAAGATCTCACGGTGATCTAGAGGGATCTCAGGGTGATCTACAGCACACAGCTAGTCTGGAAAACCTCTGAACGAATTTAAGAACTATAATATATTTCTTAAAAACTACTACTGTACTCCTAATGTATTGTACCAAGATCAATTCCTGAAGAAATATTCTGATCTACATGCATCCATCTTACGGAATTAAGGAAGAATTGCAGTCCTCAGTGTTCACAAGACACACTTAAAAGGAGACATTATACTGTCACACGGAGAACTTGAAACCTGAAGACATTTATATGCACTTCTATTGTTCCGACGCTGAAAATAAAATTGAGAGAGGCTAAAAGCTGAAAGTTGCACATACATCAGTGTCAAAAATATTGAATTACTTCTGATAAGTAACAACTGACCCCNCCCCCCCCGTCTCTTAATAACTAGCCTTGTGCCCAGTTTTCCTGCAAATATTGAGCCTATCTCTCTTCAAATCTTTGAAGGGTTCAAATATCACAACAAACCGATCAGGTTTAACATTCCTTACATCATAAACTTAAGGATCTTAGTAAACTTAAAATTCATTAAAAAAAGTTGACATTTTTCTACTTATATCTTGGTTTATATATTTCCAGCACTTCTTATCTTTCTTTTCCTGTCTACTAGTTTCGTTTCTAATCCTTATAACACTAAACTAAGCTAGGGCTAAGTTAAATAGGCAAGGGCGGTTACAGGGAACACGCCCCTGGTCCTATCCCCCCACCCCTTGAAGCGTCTCTTCTCTGTATTTCTATTTACCTTCTTTTTCTTCTCGAAATCAAGATCTTTCCGAACAGATCCTTTCCCACAGTTACAGCCACACTGTTTATAGATCAATTCAAAACCATTCTTCGGTTGCCACACGTTTGCCCGTCTCTAGAACACATTTACTTTTATTATGAATTAGTTTTTTTAATTGATGTATTTTTTATTCTCATTTTTATGCTTAGGGCATGTTTAGCCAATGAATAGTCTTATAAAAAAGCATCAAATCTGTACTAAAAATAATCTCAGTTTAGCGAACTATTGGTAATTACTTCCCGCATTTCCAAATCTATGAGAAAAGAGATATTTGGTAAATAGTAGATACAGTACGTACTGTAATCTGTATTTTGTATTAATATTATTAATTTAGACCAAATAAAAATGGTTCGTTTAATATTGTTAAGCTATATACATTATACAACAAGAAACTTTTTTTACCACTTGGTCATTCCATCCTCGCCCCCTTCCAATTTTACTTAGCGTTAGGACAGCATAGTCTTCATACTTCCTGAATATAAAATGTATATATGGGACTGGTTTTAAGTACACACATAGACTGAAGATAAATAAACTCGCGGATTTGTATTTACAGTTTACGCGGATTTCCTTGAAAGCTAGAGAATATACCGATAAAATAAGATTAAGGATACTAATTACTCGACATTTTATATCCATCCTAATATCAGGTGGTGGACGATAAAATAACCTGGCTCTTGTCAAATTTGAGGGCTATGGCCGTATTGGGTAATGACCCCCCCCCCCGGCCCCGGAAAATAAAATGGGTTAAACCTATATTTCATCCAATATCCTAAACTAATTAACGTTGACAGCTAATGATAAAATGGGGAATAATAGTTCTATCTTTAAAAATTACATTTATTTTGAGATTGCGCTTCATTCCCTTTAAAATAATACAAAAATAAAACTATTGAATGCTGCAGAAAGTAGCAAGGTTTGAATACTAAAGGGGGAGGGGGATACGGTCTGTGTTAATTTTATTAGAACTGCTCGAACCTTTTTTAAAACAATTTTTGTTATTGTTTTGACACAACTAGTTCCAAGCAGCTGTAATTGGTCATGGAAAAATGTGTAAACAACCCCCCGTACCTTGCGTAAACAAACAAACATTAAGGGTGTAATAGAGATATTTCTGCATGAATGGGGGGAGGGGCCGGGTTCTGTCGGTCAACTCTTATCCCAATGAGGAGGATACCGTCGGTCAAAATCAAATTTACAAAGAGGGGAGGGGGGAAGGGGGGTATTGAAGGGGGTGTCATTGATTCATCTTTTCTATTTGTTAAAATCAAATCAAGTGGATATCTGAAAGGAAACCCAAAGTGGAACCCCCCACACTGCCTTCAGATATCGGCCTGAAGTCCAATTCGAACAAGCGCACAATTTTAGAACGCCCGTGCCCCCGTGGTAGATTCCGGTGGCTGGCGGTCAAAATTACAAACTTATTTCTTATTTCTACATTTCATTTGTAACTCAATAAGGTTAAGAAATAAACAGTGGTTCAAACACTGATAATTCAATAGTTTCATATATATACTTTTTATAATAAAACCGAAGAACATTTACAAAACGTTTATGCATTGTACGACAATTTAAAATGCAGAAATTTGAAATTATCAATTTTGCCAGACTTATCGATCCTAGATCTGCCCAAAATTTCCCCCAAAAAATAATTTTAGGAGAAAAACCTGAATAAAACTGATCATGTTTTGTATCATATATCATATGAAAATAAAGAAAAAAGTTTTAAAAATAAGGTAACACCTGAAGCATTCTGGAGAAAAAAAATTTTAAAAATAAGGTAACACCTGAAGCATTCTGGAGAAAAAAGTTTTAAAAATAAGGTAACNATACTAACCTTCACATATTGGTGAAGATTCTGAACGTCTACGGGAGGCCGGGTGCATGTAACTATATCTAAAAGCAAAATATTTAAGGTTAACTGCACATTTCTAAACAGCAACGGTTTGACCTAGGGATCTAGGGATCAATTTTATAAAAATGATTTAATTCGCGAATTTTCATAATCGTCATAATTTAAGTAGCAACTCGTGAGTTTCTACTGTTAGTAACTCGTGAGTTTCTACTGTTAGAAACTCGTGAGTTTCTACTGTAGATATGATTTTTTACATCTCAATAAGCAATGTAGCCAAAATATCAAAATAGTGCAAAACAACAATGTATGAAGTAATATATGAACAAAAAATATGCAGTTGTCTCTGAAGTCTCATCCATTTTAAGCAACTATGTCAAGTGTAAATATAATTTATAGAAATGTTTTATACATTTTGATATTTGAAAAAAATTTTAAAGAACAAAACTTCAGACACATTTTTCTTACGTACGTCTGCAAGATTTTACAAACCAAAGTGTACAATAGGAAAATATTTGTATTATAGAGTCTTTTTGTATTTTGAAATGTATAATAAAGTTGTTTATTTTTTTACAATATTTAATCTGCAAAACCAGAGTAAGGTTTTTTGGATAACCATTAAACGTTTGTATATTAAAGACCTAATAGATCTAGGGTTTTATGAAATGAAAGTTTAAATAAA